AACTATAATAAAGAGGTCATGAAGAAATTAGGTACTTACCCAATTGAACGTATAGGTGACTTCATTCTAATCAGGAGTTATAAGGTAGGCGGAGCTATACAGCTAGCAGAGCAAAAAGATTACGCACTTACCCTGGATAACAGTATCCTTCTTAAAGACCCTAAGTTCCCAGATGATGTCTTCAAACAATATAAATCCACTGCTGCAAATTGCTCACAAAAATTAGGAAATGACCCAGCTACAGCCATTCTCGAAGCCCACATCATGATAGCCCTCATGACTCAAAAGATGAATATGATAAGTACTCGGAAACAAATGTATTTTATCCAAACAAAGATCTCTCGCATACATCAATGGATGATTGCCCAGTTCCCTACTACATCAGCAGAGTGGGTGCACCAATCCTTGGTGCACTCAGTTACTCCTTTGGTGCACTCAGTTACTCCTTTGGTGCACTCAGTTACTCCTTTGAACCAGCTGGTTCAAAGGAGTAACTGTTGAACCAGCTGGCAATGCTTTACTATTATCGGAATGCATTAGTTACACTACTTACACCATACAGTATAATCAGAAGATTGGCAATTTTTGTTTTGAATATTTTCCAATTACTTTGCCAAGTTTGAACATAGCTTGTTTTCTAGAGGTTAGTGATAGAAAATTGATAAGGACAAGCCCCCGTATTCCTTATAAACTTAAACCAATGCACGTGCTAACGTTGCATTGATCTAAGTTTATAAGGTGCAATGGATAACGTGCTATCTTCTTTAAACAACCCAATTTCCTGTATTCGAGGATACAACAAAGACTTTCTTGTCAAGAAACCTCAATGATTATCACCTTAGACAGTTTTACAATTAATTTCAGGGTCACATGAAACACTGCAATCATTGAAAACTATCAGCAACACTAATGGTGGTGATGTCTTAACTGGTATTGGTATGGCTTTAGGTAGTGCCCTACAAGCCACCGCAAGTGGTAGGAGCCAGATTATTAAAGCCATTGATGGTGCCATCAAGGATTCGCTTAATGGAGTTTCCGACTTAGATAAGAAATTGGTTCATTCTATTGGAGTTGCTACAACTTCAGTTTTAAAAGCCGCCAGAGGTGCTATAAAGGATGTAGGAGAAGGAGCATGTTCCTTTTTCCAAAAATTTATTGATGGAATAAGTGGATCAATTTTGTGGGTTGCATTTCTGTTAATGGCAATATACCTGATGTTAAACAAACCAAATTTGAACTACGCCTTACCCTATTTAAAGCCTTTGCGAAAGAAAACCACAGATAACATAATAGTAGGAAAACCAATATCCCAGGACTTGTCAACAACAATGTCCCCGAGAAAAAATAGGCACTCCACAAGTGAATGTAAATGCTCAATTTGTAAGAACGGCACGACGAACTATACCTGTTGATTGACGGTAATGGTAGGTATTTTGATTCCTGGATGGAGATGTGAAACGCTTCCAACCACCATGAGTTTCCTACATGTTAAATGAATACTGTAGTTATATGATGTCTGTGATGTTTTACAATGGTAAAATTTTATGATACTGTTATACAATGATGATTTCCGAAAATGATTTTTAATGAAACTGTTTTACAATAATATATTCAATGATGCTGTCTTACCAAACATGATGATTTTTATGAAACTGTTTCAAGAATAATAAATTTATATAAATTTTTGTTTCATAATGATGAACTTTGTGATGCTGTTTAGCAATGATGCTTTACATTTTTTTTTATATAATGATAAACTTTGTGATGCTGTTTAGCAATGATAAATTTTTATGTATTGTAATTACCTGATGGTGCTGCTATACGCAATTTTGCTGTTTATACAAAACGTCAATTTGCTAATCTTGTTGTTTGGCTGTTTGTTTTAAACTGTGCTGATTTTTAAGTACTTCTTCACAAAGACTTTTTAGCATTCCTACTGTTTTGATGCTGTATCTGAGTCCGAGGATGGACTTTTCGCTTTGCCAAAAGTAATGTTACAAAGGTAACAACCGATCAAGCGTAATCAATAAGTAAACAAAGCACTGAAGCGTGAATGCATCTAACAGTTGATTTCAATTGAAAACAATTTGACTGAAACATGTCCGATCAAACCAACATGATATAAATAGAAGACGATATCAGAGAGTTTGTGTGAAGAGAGTTTGCTCGATCGTTTGCTCAGACTTTGTAGAACCGTTCGATGTTGAGAAGAAGATATAAAATAGAAGAGGAGATACTAAGAAGAGTCTTTTAAAATAATACATATATAGTGAGTATTATGTTAGTTAATGTAAAATAGTATCTGTTATATTAGTTGGAGTTTTAATAATACAGAATAAATTGTAATTGAATAATAGTGGTTTGTAATTATTATTATTAACTGTTGGAATATCACAAAGAATAAAGGTTCCGGGAAATTAGAAATAAATTTATAATTTAAATAAAAGTAAACTCTTGTTACCACTGCATAACATATATACATGGGTGCAATAAAAAATGCTAACCTAGTAATGAAAGAATAAAATTGCTCATCTGAAGATTAATTTAAAATGTTTTTGCTTGAAAAAGTCAAACAATTAAATAGTAAAGTAATCATAATGGCTCAAGTACTAGCAGTAGATAGTACCTGCTAGTACTTGAGCCATTATGATTACTTTATCTACTAGCAGTAGATAGTACCTGAGTTAGTTACAGTAAGTTAAAAAAATCTTAGCTCTGCAATATCAATAGATTGTGCAGTGTTAAGATTTTTTTTTTTAATTTTATTCTGATTCACTCCCAAAAAGGTTCGAAGCCACTATTAAGCTATTAAGCTATTAAGCCACTATTAACCACTATTAAGTTGAAAGTTATTTGAAAAAAAGAATGAATACAAGTATTTCAAGTATTAATATTGGATATCAAATAAAATGAGTTAGATCTATTGGAGATAAAATAAAAAATGCTTCTCTGTTTTCTGAATAAAATGCTTCTCTGTTTTCTGAATAAAATAAAGCTCCAGTTTTCTGAATAAAATTTTTTTTAATTGCTTTTTGTTTGGGTTGTGAGTATGTTTGGTTTTTATCTTTCGTTTTGCAGCACTCAAAAATATGTCAAGTTTCTACAAAAGCTAAATTATAACGCATTGATGCAAAAATACAAACGTACAAAAGTACAAAAGAAAATCTTGACGTTGCTTAAATGTGCTTTGCTCTGTTTATGTCCTGAATCAGCAATTCATTTTATTCAATGTTTTTGTTGCAATGTTTCTCTTTATCACTGATATTTGTTATAAATATAAATGTTTTATTAACTCCTTAACATTGTATATATAAAAATAACACTAAAAAAGCTAGAAAATGGTTTAAAAAACATAAATCATTTTTTAAATCAAATCAGCAATTGATTTGATTCAAAAAAATGATTAAAGTGTACTCGATGATTCATCTTCTAGGATTAACTCTTCTGATCTTTCTTGGAAACTGTATATCAAATCCATTGCAAAATTAGCATCTGCTATGGTTGCTATGGTTGCATCTCTTTATTGAGCTCAACACTCCTCTTACTCTGGATTCTTTATCTCTATAAATCTCAAATTCTTCCTTGAATGGAATAATGTTACCATATCTGTAGTGGTGTAGTGGTAGAGCGCTCGCTTCATGAACGAGTGGTTCCGAGTTCGATCCCCACCACGTCCCTGGTAGTACCGCGCTCAACTCGCTTCTCCGCGCAGCGGCCTTGCTCGTCAAGGTTCGTGTTTCGGAGTTATAGAGTTGAGAGAGGGTTATAACCATAATTAAGTAGCCTCCTCGTCTGTAGTGGCCTTCTCGGCCTTGAGGAGGTGAATTAAAATTAAAAAAAAAAAAAAAAAAAATATCTGGGGCGGATCTTTTAATGATGCCCTTTCTCTTTTAGACAAGATGCAAAAACGCATTGTAAACATAGTTGGACCTGCTCTTGCAGCCAACCTTCAACCATTATCACATTGTCATTATGTTGCTTCTCTTTCTCTTTTCTACAAATACTATAACGGGCTCTGCTCTAAAGAGCTCTCTTGTGCCATCTACTAAAATTCATTCTCGTGTTACTCATCATTCAATTAAGTCTCATCCTTTTTCTGTTACTGTTTTTAAGTGCTCCAAAAACTCTTATTTGTCTAGTTTTTTTTCTCGAGTATCAGTGCTTTGAAATTCGCTTCCTTTATCTTGTTTACTTGATTCATATAATTTGTAATCTTTTAAGTCATCTGTTATTTGTTATCTTGCTCTGCAATCTTCATCTTTTCTCTTCCAGTAACTTCCAACTCTAATAGTGGTTGCCCGTAGCCTTGTTGGAAGTGAAGTTGTTATAAAAAAAAAAATTTGCAAATCAAAAAATTAAAATTTATGGATTTGCAGAGCCCCAATACTTATATATATGTATATTCATGTGTGTGTAACATTTCTTTTTATAACTGAAAGTGATTTTGATAAAAGATTGAACTAAGAATGCTCTAATAGCATTTTGCATTTTGATTCACAAATATATATATATATATATATATATATATATATATATATATATATATATATATATATATATATATATATATATTTAATATATAACTTTATATATATATATATATACATATATATATATATATATATATATATATATATATATATATGTATATATATATATATATATATATATATATATATATATATATATATATATATATATATATATATATATATGATATATATATATATATATATATATATATATATATATATATATATATATATATATTATATATATATATATATATTTAATATATAACTTTATATATATATATATATACATATATATATATATATATATATATATATATATATATATATATATATATATATATATATATATATATATATATATATATATAACTTTAACTTAGTTTAAATTTAAATTTTATTTATGGCTTAGTAATATTTAGTTTTAGATTTTGTTTCTATGGTTAAAATTTTCAGGTTATGTTTTAGAGCAAAGAAAGCATGTTAAACTTGATGAAAATTATTGATAAAGCTAATGGATATTTTTATGGTGGACTCTCTGAGGAAAGTGATGATGTGATGAAGATGATGTCACAAGCAGTTGGTGTTGATTTAAATTTCAACGAGTATCTTTTCTTATAAATAACTTGCTATAAAATATACTTGCTATATTTTTATAACCAGAGATGGCTGAATCTCAAGAAGAAACAACCTTGCCAATTATTAGCTATAAAAATAAAAACTGATAGTTTTAAGTTTTAGATAACCCCTATAACACTTGAATGACGAGTAAGCCTGATAAAAACTTAAACGTATTTTCAATGCAGATGAATTTAGCCTTCTCTATGAAGAATCTCTATGATTTAACATTTCTATGAAAAAGTAAATACTGTTTAAGTGTAAAACACACCATAGTGCAGTATAATAGGATGGCTGTGTGTTTTTTGTCAGGGATCTCAGTGGAAGCTTAGAAAGGTGCTATGGATGACCATGGTGGTCTATTTAATGTGGTAGAAGATGGTGAGGATGAAAGTGCTGATGGCAGGAATGACAATGAAGATTTAAGGTTTAACTCGATAGTTCAAACATTTTTGACTCTCAAGTGATTTGGATTATATATTTGAGTTTAACTATTTTATAATAAAATTTCTATGATATTTTATGATAAATCCTATTTTGTGATGAACCTTTATGATAATTTAAAACCTTGACTGATTTTGAAATCAAAATAAAAATATCATGTACGAAGATTGAAATTGCTTGAAATTACCAAAAGATCATCGAACCATCATTCCCAAGAAAAAAACTGTTGCATATTGAAGGTGTTGCAACAGGTAAATTAGAGATAATGCTCACTATTTCTAGAAATATGGTGATTGCTTCTTGACATGTTGATTGTTTCTGTGATAACACTGGTTGTTTCTAGAAATTCTAATGATGCTGGTCAATTAAAACATTAGCCAAACATCAGACAAGTTTTTTTTAAATACTTTATGTGTAAGTTATTTAAATGATAATACAAGTGCTAATTTTTCTGGTGTTTTTTTTACCAGAAATAAATTTTTTTTATTAGAATGTTTTTATTATATCTGAGCAATAAAAAATTTTCTTAAAACTATTTTCTTTCATTTTAATAAAAAGATCTTTATGGCTTTGTTTTATATACTCTTTAAATAACCCTTTAACTAAAATTCCATATCACAAAAAAAAAAAAAAAAAAGAGTGCATGCTTATGACGATTCTTGTATTAATTGTGGACTTGAAGTATTTGGTTAAAGTTCTTTTTAAAAAAATATCACACTCTGTTAAAACCACAATCAATCTCATCTGAAAGGACTGAGAAAATCCTTTTATGAAAGCATTGTTTAGAGCTTTTATAAAAACATTATATAGAGTACTTTAAAAGTGTTATTAAAATCTTGTAATTTTGTTTAAGCTGAATTTTTGCAATTTAAACAACCCCCTCCACAGTAGAAGGTTTTTTAAGTCTTTACAGTAGAGGGTTTTTTAAGTTTTACATGATCACCATTTTAAAATGTGTTTGGATAAAGTTTAAGTTTATAGATAAATTTTTATTTAATTTAAGAAGACGCAAATATTTTTCTTGACCATTAGACCTGCGGTCTAGCGGTGAGGAGAATTTTGGGTGTATTTTTGCTCCCAACATGTAATTAGCGTAATTTTTCTTAAAAAAGAAACTCTACTGTTAGATTTTATTTAAGTTTCAGAATACACAAAAATTAGAAAACAAGTTGCCTGAGTCCTAGATTTCTTTTTAAAAATTGGACAATAATTACATAAAATTTAATTACAAATTAACTAATGATCATGTTATTTTTTACTCAATCTCTATCATGAATGGATATAAATCAATCAATTGAGTTTATAACCATTCTTAAGGGTCTTTTTTTTCTATTTGTTTACCATTATTCACTTAATCATTTTCATGTAAAAGTAAGAAAACTGTATGAATTAGTTATAGTTTGACTGCACCAATAACAAATGAATGAAAAAGAAACTTATTAAAAGTTTTTTCATTTCCACTATCTTCTTAGATATAGCTTTTGGTAAATTTATTATCTAATCAAATGGAGTCATTTCAAAATTGCTTTTAAAATATACTGGGAAATATATTATCCTTCCAAATTTCAAAACAATGTTTTTCACATATGTTGATTTTGTTATATATGATTATTTGTATGTATATTTTTATTTGAATACTATTATATGTTTTAATTAATTTTACATATAGTATTATATACAATATTTTATGTAATATTATATATAGTATATATATATTATATGTGGTATTGGTGTAGTGGTAGCACTCGCTTCAAAAGCAAGAGGTTCCAAGTTCGATCCCTACCATGTCCTTGGTAGTACCACGCTCAACATGTTTCTCCACATAGCTGCCTTGTTTGTCAAGGTTTGTGTTTTGGAGTTATAGAGTTGAGAGAGGGTTATAACCACAATTAAGTAGCCTCCTTGTCTGTAGTGGCCTTCTCGGCCTTAGGGAAGTGAATAAACGTAAAATATATATATAATAGTTATAATGTCATGTTTACTATATATGTGTATTTATACAAAAATTATATTATATACAAGCTTAGAAAATAAAATGTTAAATTTACTAACACATGTGTATTTAAATTATTTCTTTATATTTTGGTTTTTATCCAACAACAATGAGTGTTATCAGTTTAACAACATTTGTGTTTACCAAAGTTGTTCTATACTAGCTTGTATTACCACAAGTAACAATAAAAGATCAGGTAGATTGCTAATCTTTAGTATTTAACAAGCCATAAGAAAACTTTAGTTTTATCAGATATTCATTGATGCAACTTTCCTAAAATTATAACAATAGTTGTATCATAATAAAATCAAGGAGAACAAACAAGCATACAATATTAGATTCAATTTCAAGCAGAAGTTGGTATAAACTAGAAATGAAAAAATCCCAGCATATTCAAATTTCAACGTTTCTATCAGAAATAAAATATAGAAACATCTATTAATATCATTCCCAGTAAAGTGCATCACTTATAGAAGAAAAGCAGAACTAACACTTTATCAGTTAAGAAGAAAAAAAATAAATAATAGATAAGTACATAATTTAAAAAAATGTATAAAAAATAGTGTCTTTAAAATTCCTATCATCTTAATTGAGCCCGTAGTGTTATCTATTCCGAAGAGCTCCCTTGTATCTATATCTTGTCTATATATAGTAAAGTCATGGCTCAAAAAGATAGTTATGTAAAATCAAACATATAAAAATGTTTACAGAAAACAACAGTTGTTAGGTTATTATTTATCCTGATCAAAATAAAATGGTAATTTGTACCAGTTTGAATCGAAGTGTTTTTTATACATAAAAATTAAGGCTTCGTCAAAATTTTGAAATTTTTGCACATAAAAACAAAAATTATTATAAACTTTACTAAACTAGGATAATGTTCCAAATGAAAAATGAAGCATGTGCTTTACTAAAATGCAGTCAAAAAATAAATGTCAAAACTTGTGATGCCCAACTTGTTTACTAGAAACTAGAAATAAGGAATATTGAATGTTAAAGTATTCTGTTAGTGTTAAAAGTGTTTTATTATTTGAAAAAATTGGAGTCTAATGTGTAGTGCACAACTATTGTTTTCTCTTGTATATTGACTCTCAGTCTAATGTGTAGTGCACAACTATTGTTTTCTCTTGTATATTGACTCTCGTTCTAATGTGTAGTGCACAACTATTATTTTCTCTTATATTTTGACTCTCAGTCTTATGTGTAGTGCACAATTATTAGTTGAACTCACATCAAGACTAAATTGACTATTACATAAAATAATTTATTTATTTGATTATCTACAGCATAAATAATTTATTTATTTGATGATCTACAGCATAGATGATTTGTTTGATTATCTACAGCATAGATAATACAAATCTTTGCAGTGTAAGATTTTTGGAATCTTACACTACAAAGATTATTTGTATTAATCTGATATTAATTTCAACCTTATCTACTTCACATTTCCACTCTTTATTATCAAAAACAAGGTAACCAGGTAATCATTAATATATTTTAGTAAAGATAAAAATCTTTACTGAGAAGATTACAGGTTTAAGACCCTTGCCTTTGGACATTATTAAAGGTTTGTATAATTCTCTCTGGACATTATTAAATGGATGTTATACAGTAATTTTTTTTTGTTTTTGCTTATTTTTCCTTATTAATTTGGTAAAAGAAATTCTTGTATGAAAGCACTTATAAGCCATAGCACTACATATTAAGACAAGAGTTAATATACAAAAGAAAACATAATGGTAGATTAGTAATCTTTGTATTAATAATGATTAGTAAACAAAGTTAACTATTTGATTGACATAAAGTTTTTATATTCATACACTTTTTTTGAAACCATTAAGGTAGCTTGTTCCAATGTGACATTCTGTTGCTAAAGAAGTACAGTAACTGTTTTTTGTGATTTGCATATATTTTTTGTGCAATTCTCCTCTGATATTTAATGATCATTTAGAGTTGATGATAAAGCTATTGAGTTAGGATGGTACTTTTTTTTTTTTTTTTTTTTTTTTTGATTTTTTAGGTGCCTCAAGAAGTCCTTATGGTCTTATCTCAGAGCATTTAACTTTGTTAATTTTTGATTTAATTTAAAATTTTAAAATAAAGTTAAAATTTCTTCATTGAAGTTTTTTTTATTTTCTTTTTAACGTGTGGATTCCAGACTGGTGTACAAAATTCTAATTCAGATCTGATGTATGTTGTGTATAGTTTAGGAATTAAGTTGGTGAACCAATATTTAAATGTGTACTTCAATGTACCTAGTTTAGGGTAAGCTTTATTTGTTATCATTGTAATCTAGTTGTTCCATTTGAGATTTTTACTTATGCTAATAACTAGGTTCCGTTTAAATTTATAATTCTTTTATCATTATATACAGTGGGCTAGTTTGATTTATTTGTTTATTTAATTTGCTGCTGTAAATTTTCATGTTTTTTCATTTTTTTAATTTGATTTAGTGCTCCAATTTTTTGTCAATAAACAAGTTTATTGAGATTATCTTATTAAAATATTCTTTCAATTCTCCATTTTTATATTTCTTGATTATTAATAGTTTTCTGTCATCCACAAATATCTTGCAGGTATTGTAAATTAATTCAGGCATGTTTTTAAGAAATTAAAAAAGAGTGCTGATAAGTCTTTGCCTTGTGATTTCTAGTACTAACACCACTTAGTACTGGAACTGTAAGTTTTTGTTATTGTAATAAGTAGTTTATCTACTTGTATGCATTAGCAAAGTCAGGGTAAACCACTAAAGCATAAAATCCTCTTTTTAAACCATAGATGATTGTATCTATTGATTCATATAATTTTGTGACTAGTGATATGGCTTAAGTGAACCCATGTTGTTCTTCTATAATTAAGTTATGTGAGTTCAAGTAACCTGTTATGTCATCTTTGATTAGTTTTTACATAAATTTACTGATGGCTGATGAAGTTTTTTTTTTCTTTTTTTCTGAATCTCTGTAATATTTATTTGTTTCCTTATGTTCTGGGTTGTTACCATGGGTGCTGGGTTATGCCATATTTGTAAAAAAAACATGCAACATTTTTAATTAATTGAAGTTGTTATGTTTTAATAAAATAACATTAACAAAAACAAAATGTCTGTTTTTACTGCAAAAAATTTGTATACATCAAAAGGTTTAAATATTTTTTTCTTGTTATATTAATTAAATATTTGTTTTTCGTTATGTTATTAAAATATTTGTTTCTCCTTATGTCATTAGAATATTTGTTTCTGGTTATGTCATTAAAATATTTCTTTTAAAAATATAAATGTTCTTTAAAAGATAATTTAACTTTTTTCTAAAAAACTTTTTTAAAGAGATTTGAGTCTTGAAAGAATTTAACATATTCAGTATTAACTATAATTATTATTAACTATAAGTATTATTAACTATAAGTATTATTAACTATAAGTATTATTAACTATAAGTATTGTTGTATATAGATCAATAATTGTTATATTTTTACTATTATTTAATCATACTATTTAATACTTGTATCAATTTTTATTTAATTTTGTTCTGTTTTTATATATATATATATATATATATATATATATATATATATATATATATATATATATATATATATATTTATGTTTTTAGATATAAAATAGTAAAAAATTGAACAATAATTAATTGATTAACTATAAATATTAACAAGGTAATAAATTGTAGCAGTTCAATATGGCATCTCAAATTTTGTAAGTTGCTATTTATACAGATCTTTTTTTTAAATTGTCATAACTTTTATGTATTAATAATCTAAATTTTTTTCATTTTGTTTCAAATCTTAAACTAAAAAACAAAGATTTTATATATGTGTGTGTGTGTACATAAAGAAGATATGCATTATATACATGAAATATATATATATATATATATATATATATATATATATATATATATATATATATATATATATATATATATATATATATATATATATATATGTATGTATGTATGTATGTATGTTTGTATGTGTGTATGTATACACCTTTCAAAAGCTTTTTCATGTTTATAATGCATATTTTCTTTATGCAAAAGAAAGCAAGAACAAAAGACAATTACTTGCAATTAAACTTTAAATGAATTAGTTGGATTATTTGATCTATTTTAATTGCATAGATCCTTTTTTAAAAAGTTTTAAAATGTTTAAACAATTATTTATAAATATTGTCTTCTTTTATGTTTAATTTTAATTTTTGTCTTGCCAATTTTGTCAATTTTGATAGAATGTTAAAAAAAGCTTTCTTGGCTTTTAACACGCTTTTATTTGAATTAATTTAAATTAACATCAACAGCATTTAAGGAGCAGAGTGAAATACAAGGGCGGCAAGTAAATTTAAGCAGCAAATTTAAATATCTAGAAAATTTTGTATTTGTAAATTTAAAAAAAAATAATAGTTTTTGTATTTGTAAATGAAACTTTTGCATTTGTAAATAAAAATTTTAAAAATTGTAAATATTTATGTAAATATAATTATTCTCTTTTAAGTTTTAGGCAAATATAACATAAATGATACGTTTAATTGCAAGTTTCATTTTTATTTTTGTTGTTGTTGTTTTCAGTAGTTCTTTACCAACAAATTTAGTTTACCGACATTATTTTTAATTCCCTTTATATTATGTAAAGATTTTAGTAACTTTCCTAACTTAAAATAAACAGCAGTAAAAATGTAAAAAAAGAGTTTCTGAATAATAATAATTAAAAAAAACAATATAACTTATTGAAAAATTGAAGCTAGAGAATAATTGATGTCAATTAAAAAATAATTTTTTAAACTTTTGAATGAGCAATGTAGTGGTAGAGTGCTTGCTTCATAAGCAAGAAGTTCTGAGTTTGATTCCTACCATGTTCCTGGTTGTTTTCGCTCAACTTGTTACTCTGTGCAGCGGCCTAGTTTTTGTTTCGGAAATAACAAGTTGAGAGGCCTTCTCAACTGTAGTGGGGGGGGGGGGGGGGTAAATTAAAAAAAAAAAATTGCTCACTTTTTGGCTTACTTTATTCCATTCAGCTTTTTTAGAAAAAGAAGAAAAAAACAAAGAGTAATGGGAAAAAAAGGTTGCTACCCCAGGCCAAACCCTTAGTCAGTGTATGTAATACATTGAATGACAAATTATATATACATACCTTTTATATAATATATATATATATATACATATATATATATATATATATATATATATATATATATATATATATATATATATATAAATATATATATATATATATATATATATATATATATATATATATATATATATATATATATATATATATATATATATATATATACAGAGAGAGAGAGATATATATATATATATATATATATATATATATATATATATATATATATATATATATATATATATATATATATATATATATATAGAGAGAGAGAGAGAGAGAGAGAGAGATACACAGTTTTTATCAACTTCCAGAAAACCAAAAACACAGCGTGGAAAGCGTTTTCTTCTGCAAAGAGAAGCAAAATTAGAAGAGAATACAAAAAAAGTGATGTTGATACGTGGTGGCAGAACAAGCGAAATAGTTACTCAAGCAATGAAAGATATAGTAAGTTTTATTTATTTATGAAAGTAATAATAAGTAAGATATAGTAGATATAGTAAGTTATTATTTTATTTTATATGTTTAACTTTATAATGAGCTAACTTAATTGTATTTATTTATTTTATTTTTTAAGTACATTCTAAAAAAACCCAATTCGTCAATGTTTCACAGGTATTTCAATCTATTTTTTATATTTGTGTTGTTGTGCCTGTGTTAAAAAAAGTGCTAATTTTAATTTTTGCTATTTTAAATAGCATTTAATAAGTATTTATGTTTTCTAAAAATAACATTTGATAAATATAATTTATTAAACTTTATTTAAACAGTTAATTAGTGTTAAAACTTTTTTTTAATATATAAAATAATTGTTTTTGTTAAAAAATATAATTTAATATTCATCCTGAATTTAACTAACATTTAAAAAGTACAATTATTATTTTTATTAAAATTAATGTATTTTAAAGTAATATTTAAATTAATGATTTATTAAAGATTATGTTTAGCAGGTTAAGTTGCAAATCTTATAGCCTAACACAGGTTTTTGTTGAGTAAAATGTCCTTTTTTTTAAATTTTAAACTTTTTTTATTAACTCAACAGTGTGTTGATAGCAGTGTTTTCATAAATAAATTTAAAATTATTATATCTTTAAATATTTAGGAAAAATATCATGCGTCCATTTGAAGACCAGATGTCATTAGTAAGTTATATTCTGATTATTTAGTAGTTTTTTCAAATGATTTTTAAAATGCAAACACTATGTTATAATATTTTAGTATCCAGTATTTGAATGTTATAATATTTCATAACAATCTAAAATTTCAATTTTCAGAATGACCACAAAACTGTCTTTAAATAATAGTTTTTATAATTGTTTTGTGATGTTTTTTTTTTTTTTTGTTTTTTTTTTGTTTTTTTTTTGTTTTTTGTTTTTTTTTTTTGATTAGATAACATTGGTGATTATAGGAAAAAATTTTAGAGCTGTTCAGTAAAAATCCAAAAGGATAAATATGAGGAGTAGTACTTTAAGGAATAGTTTACCTTAGAATGAGGAGACTCAAAATGTTAAAAAAGTAATCACTGTTAGGAGTGCATGTGTGGGGAAGAGGGGGAGAGTATAATAAATGCTACGAGCAACCTAAGTGACTATTATTAGTGTTAGTATAACTGAAATACTAAAAATATATAGATCAAAGTTGTATAACTATACATTAATAAATATATAAATAGATAATAATATATAGTAGATAAAAATTATATTAATAACAAGTAACATTCTTTAAAACTTTTTTTTATTCAGGATTTTTTTGCAAAATTATGCAAATTACTGTTATGTGAATAACTAAGTGGTTACTTTTTTTTGACTTTTTTTGTTTTTGTTTAGGTCTTTTAAGTTCATTAAAAAGAATACATAGATTATTGTGAATGTGTATTTAAAAATTTTTAGCTTAAAGATTTTTGCACATATATTCTTAAAAGCAAAAACCTGCAGGTTCTTCTATAAAAATAAATTTTTTAGAGAGTTTACAGGAAGTTTTTTAGAGGTTTTTAGATTGTATCTCAGTGTTCATTTTTGTGTTGTATTTTTGTTAGTCTCTTTGTTGTATTTTAGGTGTCATAGCTCATTAACCCATCATTTTATGTTTGTTATTCATCACTGGCTGGCTTTAATTTTTTGAGAAAAAGCATTAGTTTCTACCATTAAGAAATAAGGCAGCCTATCTGTTTAGGCTCTAGCAAAACTTATTTTGAAAATGGCTTTGGCATGCGTAAACAGAGTTTTGTTAGACAAAAGATTAGTATTGGGATTTGGTTCTAATCTCCAAAAAAAAATTTGTTCAGTTTTTTAAACATTTGACACTATTTTTAATTCTTGTTCTAAAAGTAGTTTTTGTTTAGGAGTTTTTTGCCCAAAAAACAGATTCTTCGCTTATGGTTTTTGGTTCAAATTCTAAGAAAAGACCTCACAACTTGATAATAGGTAAATTTATTTAAATTTTATTACATTGTTTTGTCATTTTAACAGAATTATAGAATAACAGAATAATTTATAAAATTATTGTAGTTTACACTAAAACGTTTTATTTTACAATATTTTATAATGGAGTCTTATATTACAAAAGTTTGTTTTATTTTATAATGAGGTGTTATATTTTTCTGTTTCATAAAAGTATTTACAAAGTAAAGCTGGTAATTTTCCTTCAGGTTAGCCTAGCAATATCGAAGAAAAAAAATCTTATTATCTGATAACTTGATAATCTTGATAAAGAACTTTTAAATCATTGTTTACTATATTAAATTTTACTTTTATTAAGTTGTTATTAAATTTAATTTTGTGTGGTTTGTACATTTAATAAACATGGCTGGATTTACCTATAAGTTGACTAGGCCTCAGGCCACACAATTTTGGGCGACACAATTTTGATCCCTAAAATTAAAGTATTATAACTTTTTTAGTTTAAATTTTGATTATTTTCTTGGTTTTGTTTTATCATATTTTCAAAAAAAGATTAAAGTTAGGACTATCCAAAAAATATATAAATTATAAATTATGAGAAATTATAGCAGGAGACATGTATTTACGTCTTTCTTATGATTTTAAAGATCCTAAAGCATCAACAGTTGAATGTAAAGCCTCCAATGTTGGAACTAAAAAATCTTTACAAAAAACGAATAAGACTGAAGAACTTTACGATTTCTTGCTCAAAACTCCAACTTAATAAAAAACAAGACTTACTTAAAATTTTTTGATTGCATCAAAAAAGAAATGACTGAATTTGATGGATCAGTTGACCGTCCAAAATTGCTTAAAAAATTGCACTATACTTTAAAGCTTTTATCAGCATCATCAGTTGTAAATGAAAGTTGCTTTAGTGCTCTAGACTTTTTTTTTTATTATTACAAATTTGAGAACATCTTTAAGTGATTGATAGAAAGTTTAAGTTTTCAGCGTTTTATCTTGAAAGTTTAGTTAGGTAATAATTTGTTATATAAAGTTTAATAAAGTTAGTTAATAATTTGTTTAATAAGTTGTTTAATAAAGTTAGTTAATAATTTGTTTAATAAGTTGTTTAATAAAGTTAGTTAATGATTTGTTATACCTATATAGTATTATATATCACACAAAAATATAATATTAGCTGTAATTTTTCATTGTTTGAAAAATAATTAAAGTTACTTACAATTACTTTAGTTACTTAAGTAATTTGAAAAAAGTTACTCAAGTAAGTTTTTTCTATTACTTGAACACCGCTACATGTGAGCTATGATTTAGTTATTAAATTTTGTTGTTTTTTTATGCAAAATAATTGCAAAAACTTTTTCTAGTAAAATTTTAATCTTCTTTAAATAAAGAGTTCATTTAATCTTTCCCATGCTTTTATAAATTCCATATAAAATCAGATGTTTTATAAATTCCATGTAAGTTTCAAGTATTGAGGGGGGTATGAGGAAAATAAATGCACTTTTAAGATTATTAATATTTTCCTGTTTTCAGGTTCTTTTTATGATTATCATATTCTTGATATGGTGGAGTTAGGTATTGATAAATATACCCCAATATCAAAGTTTAAGGTTTGTTTATTTATAATAAAAAAATGTTTAGAGTTAAATAACAAAGTTATTCACAAATTATTTTCACACTGTAATTATTGTTTTTTCACACTGTAGGCTGATAAAATTCCATCCGGTACTAAACCCTGTATATTGTTCTCTGGAGAAGAGTTTGAAAATAATTTGGAATTTAAAAGGTTAAAAACACTACTGATTGATTTTTGGAGAGGAGAAAAAGCTGAAAATATTCGTTTGAAAGGCCTTGAGCATGTTATACAGTTCACTGCTGACCATGGAAAAATTTATTTTCGTAGCTACAGGTAAAAACTGTTTTTTTTTTTTATTATTTTAAAGAAAGTTATATTGTTAAAAATAATAATAAATTTCAAATAAAATTAAAAACAAAAGAAAATTGTCACAAATAAATGTATAATTTCAAATTTTAAAACTTTCTAGAGTTTCATTTAAAAAATCAGGCTTAAAAACACCTAGAGTTGAGTTAGAAGAGATAGGTCCTTCAATTGACTTTACACTTAGGAGAACACGACTAGCGGCTGAATCAGTTTACAAAGAAACATTAAGGAAACCTAAGGCATTAAAGGTAAATGATTTGATATAATAATTTTTGTTTATGTTTTAATTATATATTTTTATATTATGTTACTATTTTTATCATTATATTACTATTTTTAATAATTTTTTTGTTTAATGTGTGTACTGAAATTTGAAAAAGAGGCTAGTATTAATTTTCATAATGACACAATGGTATGAGTCTTTATTGCACTCCAACACTCAAAGATTTATATATGAGTGTGTACATGTGCATGTATTCAGCTGGTTAACCCATTGTTAGACATCCAAATCACTCTGCCTTTGTTGCTAAAGTCATTTCTCAATTAAACTCTTATATGGCTTCTGGTTCAGAAAACATTCCTGTCATAGTCTTACAAAAGTGTTCTTCTGAACACTCTTCAATTGTCTCTAAACTATTTAAAAAGTACTTGGCTAAATCTTATTTTCGTGCTTGCTAGAAAATGCCATCTGTGGATCAATTTTTTTTTAAACTCAAGAGAACATTCTGATCCCTCCAATGTATCATTTGGTCAGTCTTCTCTATTTTTAGCAAGGTCTTAGAAATTTTTTTATTCTAAGGATGACTTGCTAAATAGCTGTGACAAAAAGATTCTATCGTGCATTAGGTGGGGGCGGCAAGGCAAGGGATATTGCTCTTGAAATATCTAAAGTTTTTGATAAAGTTTAGCATGATGGTCTTCTCTAAAAGCTTGCTTCATATGGTGTATCTAGGTAAGTTTTTAAGATTATCAAATCGTTTCTTTCTAACCATTTTACTAAAGTCATCCTCAAAGTCCAACACTCCAGTAACTTTTGGGGTACCTCAAGGTTGTATCCGTGGTCCCGTTTATTTTTTTTCATCTGCATTATCTTTCTAACAATCTGACATGTAAAGTAGCTATATTTTATGAATCAACTTTATACTCCTGTCTTAAATAAATGTCTTCTCATTTCGATTGTTTAGAATGGGCAGTGATCTTGAATCTGATCTCACTTCTGTAACAACTTGGTACTAGCAGTGGCTTATAAATTTTAGCTTCAGCAAAGCCCGGTTATTTACTGCAAACAACATTCACAATATTTTTGACATTTGTTAAAATAAATGGCAACCCTCTTACTCCTCTTCTTTACGTCTTTTTAGATTTTTATCATTCACGACTGTACTCTTGTAGAAACCATGGAAACCATATACACAATCCATTGCAAAGTTAGCATCTACTAAGGTTGCTTTTCTTTGTTGTGCTTGCCATTCGTTTTCTTTTTCCTGATTCCATTCTCTACCTCTACAAGTTTCTTACTCGTCCCTGTTTGGAATACTGTTGTCATAATTAGGCTGGTTCTTCTAATGATGCTCTTTCTCTTCTAGAAAACGTCCAACAATGCATTGTAAATGTAGTTGGACCTGCTTTATCTGCCAAGCTTGAGCACCTTTCCCATCATCATAAGCATCTCTTTATCTTTTTTACAAATACTATCATTGTTGCTGCGCAAAGGAGCTATCACCTCTAGTTCCATCAACCAAAAGTCGTTCTCGCTTGACTCGTCATTTAGAAAAGGCGCATCCTTTTAATATATCTGTCCCTGTATGCTATAAAAACTTTTTTATTTGTTTTTTTTTTTTTCTCGCACTTCGATCTTTTAAAATTCTCATGTTTCCTGATTCATACATTCTACAACTTTTTATATCTTCTGTCAACTGTTTACTTGCTCTATTTTTTGTTTTCTATTAACTCACAGCTTAATAATGGTTGCTTTCAGCCTTGTTGGTAGTGAATTTGATAAAAAATTAAAAAAAATATCAAGTTATAAATTTACCCCGGCAGCTAATTTGTCAAAAACTGACCTACAGAACACTGAAAAATATAAATAATACAAAATATATATAATTGGACAAGTTTATGTGAATCATAAAATATAAATTAAAATTTACATGTATTTGATGCTATTGTTTTTTAATTGACTTAATTGGCATGATAATAAAGATAAATCAATTAAAGAACAATGGAAAAAACACATAAATTGCAATATCTCCTATACGCATGCGCATCTACAATACTAAAAGACATTAAATAGTCAACTAGAAAAATTTATTTTTTCAACTTCTTAGTTAACTATCAGGATAGTGTCAAAAAATTTTCTAGAAGGTTGGTTTTTGGCACTTTCTGATAGAAAGCTCTGAAGATAATCGCAGTTTGGCAACTTACCATTGCTGCCAAGAAGCCTAATCTCCTCTGCTTTTCTTAATAAGGCAAACGAAGATTTTAAAACATTTTACGTCTAATGACTTTTGCCTTATGTCTAGAATTTATAAATCTTAAGTACCAAAACACTGGTTGTTGGCCATATTTTTAGTTTATACCAGAAAAAATGTTTATGTTATTTTTATTATATTGTACATAAATGTGATTGTATTGTATGTCTTTGTTCATAGAAAAAGAAAGTAAAAAATGTTGAACATGACACATTTGGTACAAAAACTGGTAGAATTCATATGCAAAAACAAGATCTTAACAAACTACAAACCAGAAAAATGAAAGGACTGAAGTCAAGTGAAAAGCTAAAAGAAAATAAATTACAGACAAAAAAAATGAACGGGATAAAACGGAGTGCTAATCTAACTGAAGACTACCAACCCAAAAAGCCTAAAACTAATAAAACAGAATAAATTTAGTCATAATGTTGTCTCTTTTTTTTTAGTTAAAATTCGAATAATAATAACATTCAACCTGTCTAAAAATATTTGTCCGTGCAAAACAAGATAAATAAAAATTTATTGTCCATGCACAATAAGATAAATACTTCACCAAATTCTGTTTTATAATGTTATATAAAAATGGAGAATGTAATTTAAGACAAAACTTATGCAAAAAATTAAATAAAATTACAAACTATATTTAAAAAGGTTATAATTGGCTTATAACTTCGTCAACCCAATAAATGTATCAAATATTAATATTACGTCGCTTTAAGGCACAGGTTTTTTTTACACCTTTATATTATTTATTAAAGTTTTTACCAGTCAAATTGACATCAAAAAAACTTTTAAAAAACCATTTAGAAAAATGAGTTTCCATTGAAAAGCAGATAAAAAAATTGGTTTTCAAAACCAGTTTTTTATGTTCTAATAAAATTAGAAGAAGATTTTTCAATTTTTGACTGAAACATTCTTTTAAATTATATCTACTGTTTCGTTTTTAAATTTTTACCCAATTAGATGTACTGAAAAATATTTAAAAAATATATTTTTATTTATTTATCCAAGGCGTGTTTTGCGCTGCACAATGAGCTTTCTAGTTAACGATTATTTTATAAATAGGAGCTAAAGATTATAAATACAATTATAATAAGATTTCTATATAAAGATATAGGTCTATAGACATACTACAGATTGTGTTTGGGAAAAAAAAGTTAAGCTATAAAATTTACGTTAGTTTTTAAGTGTTGCTATTAACAGTGGTTTAAATTGTACTTTACTTGTAACCCAATACTTTAAATGTATTGAAAGTATCAAGTTATGTTACTTTGAAATAAACCTTTGGTTGATGGTAACCTGTAGAGTCACCACTAGTTGCCTGTAACATATTAACTCTGCTGTCGCGTTTCTTTTGATTAAAGAAACTTCTTAACTAGAACAGGTTGTATATAGTCCTCTGTATATATAAAATGACTCTAATTGATAAATTGACACACGGTAAGAGCCGATAAAATGACCCGCGGTCAAAAATGCTGGCAATCTAAACCATTATTATAAAGTTAATATTTAATGGTCATAACATGGATAAAGACATATGGTATCCGTGGTATAGATTTAGAGTGCTGGACAGGTTTAAATTAAGATTAAATCTGTTCGTGTTTATAAAAGATTCATCGATGAAGACAAACAGTTTTAATCATAGAGATTGCTATTTCCTTAAACTTTTTCAAACTAAACAAGGTTTGTTTTGTTGTATTAAGATAATGACAGCTTTTAAAGTAAATAACTGACATACAGCACTGATCGATGACAACAAATTTAATTTAATTAATCAAAAACGATCCAAATATGGTCAGGTAGATGTGTTTTGGCATTTTGTCATTTCAAAAATGTGAGACAAAATATCAAGTATAAAATTAGTAAGTAAAAAATACAATTTATGACCAAGGAATCGAAATAAAAAACTTGAAAGCGAAAATCAAGGTTCAAAAAAATTCAAGCATAAGGACAACAAATCCATCAACAAAAACGTTTTCTGCTATTCTTTTTGAAAACTCAAAGTCTATTTGCCGAAGTAATTCATTCTACTGTCATTACTTTTAAACAACTATTTGGCAATTTTTTTAATGTTAATTTTGTTGATTTGTTTTTTGTGTATCTGAGCAAACATGATGTTGTTCAAGTGCTTCCATTTTGTGACCTAACCCATGTTTTTACTCTCCTCATTACACTAAAGCTTCTTTCACATGATGATGTCGATAGAGGCATGGTGTAGTAAAACTTCATTAATTTGTGTTTTTTATAGGCAACTTTTGAAGCCGGCATGGCATTGCCGGTATATATAAAATATCTGCAATTGTTGCTACTCTGGAAACACTGTATTTTGATTGATGCAATAACATTGTAAAGGTTAATAATTGTTGGTAGCCCCTTTAACTTAACATTTAGTTCTAAGATGTCAACAACATTCAAAAATGGCATTCCAAATAAAAACGGTGGGGTTTATTGACCGATGAAATCAAAACGTCTTCTATATTTATTAAAGCTGTTAATCCATCCTGTTCAAATCTCTCACTCAAACTGTTCAGAATAGCATCAATTTAAATCAATTTTATTCAAAATAAGATTTTCTTTGTTTTTTTCTAATTTGACAGGACCAGTCATTGCACCGCCCTATGTAAGTTTCTCAGTAATTACTGGATTGCGTAATGCTTCAGGTATTACTCTTTGTCTCTGCGTAACTTTGGTTTCAGACTTATTGTCTTGCTTGATTTCAGGGATTTTTTTTTTTTTAGCCTTCAAAATTCTATTTAATTCCTTATCTAATCTGATTTCTGCAAATCTCTGAGACGCATTTCGAATGCAGAATACTACGATATCAATTGTCAGATTAATTTCTTGTAACTGCTTCTTTAGATTCTCTAGAACAGCATTCAAAAGTGCTTTGCATTTCAAAAAGTGTTTTTACTGATGAAAGCTGAGATAATAAACCTGTAATTTGTGCTCTTGTTTCTGCAGCAATAGTCTTGTCACTATGAAGACTGTTCAATATTGTACGAATTTCTGCAATCTTCTCCAACACCACTTGTACTGCTTTTGTTTGTGTTGACCATTGAGCCATTGACATAGACTTCAGCCAAAATATTCTGCATTCAGTCAAAATATTCTTGATTCAGACTCATGCCATATATTCTTTTGATTTGTTCGAAAAAGGCAACACGCTTTGGATATGTCCAACAATTGCATAAATTGACTGGAAAATGCTTAGAGACTCTGACAGTATTGATGAAATTGCATATGTATCCGCATCTGAAGAAAGACCGTTGACGCATTCATATACTCCAATAAAATTTTTATTCACTTCATTGTTGTCACTGTAAGTTCTTATATTAAACGAAATTTGTTCCTTCTTAGTAATATCTGATAATTCATCTGCAAGTACCGAATAGAAATGTTTATTTTTGATCAGTTCAACAATCTGCTTTTGTACTTCTAAGGTGAAAAGTTGTTCTTGATCTTACATTATGTCATGGAATGAAACATAATGGTTTTCAATCATCAACATTTCTAATACCTTGTCACTTTTACTCTTATCCAAATTAAACTAATAAATATTGGGTTCTTCATCATTATCACCTCTTATAGCTATACCCTGTCGAAGCAATATTTTCAATGTTCCAAAATGAACTAGCAAGTCTTTTCTTCGAACTGCTTCTCCATGTACATTTGATCAAATTGAGCACTAATTGTTTTAAATTTTATATTTTCTTTCTCAATCTTTAGAGGACTTGCAGCCTTAGGAACATTGGAGCTCTCGTGATCTTTTAGTGCTACTGCAAATTTACTCCATGTTCTAAATACTTTCTCGACTCCATGCTTGAACACTCCAACAGAACATGAATCATATTTTGTACAGGTTTCACAAAAGACAGCTTTCAGTGATCAATCATAAAATAACCGACTAAACTCATTTAAATAAGCCTTAATACAAGTTCTTCCATTTCTATCACTTTTTTTTAATAATTTCACTGAAATCCTCCGTTTTTCTTACAAGATTTTCCGTTAGAATTTCATTATCTTTTGCTCCTGTTTTTCTGTATTGTCTATTTTTAAACTGCTTATTAGGGTACGTCATACTAAAAAAATTTTGAAAATTACATTTGGGGAGTGATTTTATTATGGCTTGGGGTAAGCTAAGCAATATTCAAACAAAAAATTTTTTTTTTTTTTTTTTTTTTTTATGTGTAAAAATTAACTTGAAAAATGTAAAAAAGCGCTAAAAAATGCATTTTTACGACAAAAAATTTACAAAACTTTACTAACGCATATTCAAATTTCAGTTATCCAATTTTTAACAAGTCTATTTGTAGTTGTAATCTATAAATTATAGAACACAGTTACTTTGTACTTGTTATTTGCTTTGCGTTAGTTGTGAAATTAATTGTGTATATTTCAATATTAAATATTCGCAATATTTGTTGATTTTACTTGTGATTTTTTTATTATAATTGTTTTTGTTTTACAGTAAAAAAAAAAGTAGAATATTGTGTTATGGAGAGTTTAAAATTGACAAGACATTCTTCTACAACTAATATAACTAAGTATCTTGGAGTAGGAAAAGATTGGTTGGCAACTGAAGTTCCTACACTGAGAGATGTACTAAGGAAAGGTCTACATACTCAGAAAAGTTTGCTTCTTTCTGATGATCTTGATAGGTGAGTTTTTTGAAATGATATTGAAAAGTGAATTTCTAATAAACTTTTAGTAGGCACAGGACGTCCAATAACATCCATAGAACTTCCATCTGGACACCTGCTGGGCGTCTTAGGACATTTAGATGTCCAAGTATTAGTTCAAGTCCAAGTATTTCAAACAACAATGTTAAAACAGTTTAAATTTTATATTTTTTGTAGGAGATGTCACCTACCGGTAAAAGAAATCTCGGTGGTATTGGCAGACTTGGTATTGAAACAATGGTCTCAATCCAACGCTTTGTTTAAGACCCCTGTTGTCATATCTCATAAAACGCTGTCAGATAAAATTTTAACTGCCTGGCATAAGTTTAGAGACATTTCTTATCAAAAAGAAGCAAAAAAAAAACTGTCAAATTGTGGGAAGGTAAGCTGGACAAATTGTTAGATATAACAACTTGTAGGTGTAACACTTTGTACAGATGAAAATTCTCCTTGTAAGGAGGTTAAAAATTGTTCTGCAGGAGTACATATTTTATGCATTTGTTCTAAAGCTATCAAGTTGCCACAACTTGATTTATTATGGCTTAGATCTCAAAGAGATAAGGTTGGTGAAAAATCAGGCTACCAAATATATCAACTAGACAAGGAAGAAACAGAAAGACAGGTTAAAGCAGTGAAACGTAAAATAACAGATATTGCATCTTTAGAAAAAAGACAAAATTTGGTTAAAAAACCTCATATTAATACACAAGTTCAAATTGAAAACATCGAAGACAAAGTTTATGAATC